AGGAGGAGGAGGAAAAGGAGGAGAAGGAGGAGGAGGAGGAAGAAGAGGAGGAGGAGGAGGAGGAGGAGGATAATGAGGAAAGTTCTACAAGAAGTTGCAACTGCTGAATGGGGAAATTGGACCTCCGCGCTGCAGAAGCGAGCTTCGAATGTCTGACGTGTTCCAAGGTCTCCTGAAGGTCCAGGAGCACAAGCCCACTGGAGAGCCTCGTGGTGGAGGCCCACTCGGTCCCCCCCCCCCCCGCGATTTGAACCCAAACCAACTTGTCAATACTGCGGCCCGTGGTGGACCACCCGTAGTGCCGATCGCTGGCCTTATGCCAGGCATTGATAGAGGCTTGCGCAACCTACTCAGGATGAGTGCGATGGGCCTGAGCCCCTCTTCACGCTTGCTGGGAAAGACACAGCTGTTGTCCAAAGCTTGGGCCAGCAGCCATTAGCTTCGATACCTTCGATGAGATGCTGAGCAGCTATCTGGGGGACAGCTTGTCGAACCCGCACCCAGACTGATCCAGAAAGCTTCGGACCCATTCTTTGAAAGCCTCGAGCGATGGCCTAGGAAGAGAGGGACCGAGATCTCTGGGCAAGAGATGGAGTCCTCAACCATCCCAACACGCCACCATTTGCCCCACTCGCTCTCGAGAAGCTCCACCTCTTGGTGTAGGGCTGCCGGCTGCACCTTGGCTGCAGGCCTTCCACAACATCCGGGTATAGCCAGGACCCCAGGTAAGGGGATTTGGTTAGTAGTGTGGCCCTGGAGCCCCCAAATTGGCCAGAATCACTAAACCAGGCCTGCCGTAGCAGGTGTTCGGGTGACGGCAGTTCAGGTTGGAACGGGCGGGTGGGGGGCGTCCCCCAGCACACATCATTGAACCAGGTCCAACTAAAGCCAGCTCTGCCAACGCCCGAAACGTAACGAACTGGTATGCCACGGCGCCGGTGTTAAGTCGGGCCTGTCCCTCTACAGGGGGAATCTTCAAAACTAGTCAACAAATAGTCTGGGAACGGTTTTTTCACTACTTTTGCCCATTGGGGGGGTACTTGTCGAGCGCGTTTTATTCTTCGCCCAAGATATCCATGTAGGGGGACACGCCCGACTCAACGCTGGTGGCTCAGAACTTGTTCACAAGGCCGCTCTGCTCCTCGACCCAGGCACGCCAGCCCTCCCTCGAGGCGTCGGCACCGCGAGAGGTGGGCTCAGCGACCCCCTTGGTGGCCGCAGCGGCAGCCGCAGCCGACCCCGAAGGGCAGAGTGCGCACAAAAGGAAGATAGCGAGAACCATGGCTGCGCCAAGAGTGTAGGGGAACGACAGTCGCATAAGCATGACAACTCGGAGGTCCGCGCGGACGTTTTGCGTCGGCGCTCGACCCCCCCTCCCTGGCGCGCGGAGCGCGCCAGGGGCGGCGCCCGAGGCGCCGCCAGGGGGGCCCCAGCGCCGATCCAGGAAATCCGCGCGGACCTCCGAACTTTCTGTGCGTTGTGCCATTGTGCGTACCCCTGGAGAAGGGCCCCACCCCAGTCTTACTTCTCCTGACCTGGACCCGACGGGCGAGCCGAAGCGTTAAAGCCCTCAGCGGGAGAGGCTGCCAGAGACTGAGACCAACAACAATCACCTGGCCACGAGCCTCCAGCACAGGGCACGCGGGCACAACTTGGGATAGGCGGTGTCCTTCGGCACAGCTGACTTCGTAAATGCGGAAGCCCTCCTCCTCCTCCTCCTCCTCTTCCTCCGCCCCCTCCTCCTCCTCCTCCTCCTCCTCCTGCTCCTCCTCTTCCTCCGCCTCCTCCTGCTCCTCCTCCTCCCACCTCCCGCCCAAGAGCCCAGAAAAAGGGCCAGAGGCGCCCAGACGAGGCCTCGATCCCCGAAGCTCGAGGATCGAGGGGGCTGCATCAGAGGAGGGGGGGGGGCTGTAGGACCTTCCGTTTGTTTGATTTCAACCAGGTTTTTTTGGTGTTGTGCCAATCGTGTAACAGTCTTAAGAGATGCAGATGCCGCCTGAAGCTAACACATGGGATTACGCTGCACGACACTTCACACACGAATTCAAACTGAATAGCCCCACGCGTAAATTCAACATGTGCAGTCCCCCACTGTTAAAATCAATGCGACGAAGCCTCACACTCAAAGTCAAGTGTTAATCCCCTTGACTGTGGTGATTTCCAACAGCATGGCCATGGGTCCGCGGACGCTCGCCAGGAAACAGGAAGGAAACACAGGACACAGAGGAACCGCATTAAATAACACTTGTGCTTTTACATGGGATAATAGGAAAGAAAACGTTTGACCGTTGCCAGTGCTTTATTGGACACATGCATAAGAACACTGACAGTCACAGCTTGTCCTTGTGTGTCCTTGGCTTTCCTTTTGGATACACTGCGTGCTTTTGATACTGTTCACGTTTGTCTGGTTATCCTCGTACGCTTCCGCGGCTCCAAAGCAAGCTACTAGAATGGCCGACGCTGAACATCAGTTTGAAAACCCCACTGCCCGATTCAATGTGCAAATCCCCGCAATTAAACTCAACATGACAAGCCCCATCATCATCGAAGTCAATTTGAAAAGATCCTCGCACCTGAGATCAATGTGTAGTCAAGCTGCACGTTGATTTTGCTTGCGGGTGAGTTTCAGAGGCAGAGCCGTGGGGCCGTGGGAGCTCACCAGGAAAACAAGAGCCACCCATAGAACGACCTGAAGACACACGTGCTTCCACGTGGAAGAGTAGGACACCACAAGGACCACATGTAACCGTTGCCGTTTTCGTGTGGCAGCACGAACAAGAGCACTGACAGTCACAGCTCAGCCTTCGTTTTCTGGTTGTCTCCTTTGAAAACCACCGCATGTTTATTGGGTTGTCTGTTTCCCTTATTGTTCTGGTAAGTGTCCGCGGCCCCCCGGCAAGCCACTACAGTGCCCCATAATTAAAGTCACTCCGAAAACCCCACCAACCAAATTCAAATTGCAAATCCCGGCGGTTAAAACATAAATATGACAAGTCCCACAACCAAGTTCATTATTTCAATCCCCTCACACAAAAATCTATGTGTAACACATGTACACATATAATTCTGAGCAACGGGGCCGCGGAAGCGTACCGGGAACACACCAAAACAGGGACCACATGCACTTGTTTTTTCTGTCAGTTGGAAACTAGGAAACCTAACGACAACCTGTGACTGTTGCCTTTTTCTGAATTCCCACACGAGCAAAACACTGACCGCCAGAGCTTTTCCTTAATTGTTCTTATCTTTTCCGCGTGGCCACGCTGATTTTGTAACGTTTACGTAATTTGTTTTCTTAGTTTTCCTGGCATGCTCCCGCGGCCCCACTGGCAAGCCACTACAATGCCCCTCGATTAGAATCAATCTGAAAACACGCACGATGAGTAAACACAATGACCTATGGACGTGCAGAGCACGAGGAAATCGATCAACAACAGCCTTGCTGCAATCATACAACCAAGGGGTCTCATCTGTAGGGGGGCCTCGCGCACGCGTCGTCCTCCCCTCCGGGGGAGAGTCGAGGCTTTTGTTTTTTTTACGTACTGGGTTTTCTGCTGGGCCTCTGAAGGCATCCGGGGGACCTCGGACGCCTGGGCACCTCGTGGGAATTTCCAGGGGCCTCCAGCGATGGTCGCCGACCAGTGACTTGCAGGGACATCTGGAGCTGCCTCCCCCTTCTCCTCATCCTCGTCCTTCTTCTCCTTGTCTTCCTCCATCATCTTGAGGGAAGGAACACGATGACCATGACCAAGATGTCGCGGTCTACTGTCGATGCAGACCTTGATCCACGAAGTGTCAATCACCAAGATGGGCGGTGGCCATGATCGACAACGACGTTTCCGCGTTCAGTCCTGGTCACGGTCACCGTGCTCCTTCCCTCCTCGCTGATTCGCCTCATCCTCCTTTGGCCTAGGTCGCCCCAGGAGGGGCCTCGCGGGCGTTTGCCCGTGTGGCCATGGACTGATTGGGCTGCTTCAGGTATCCATCTAGTCGCTTGTCCGACGCCCAGAAGTGTTGCTGGCACGCCCGCTTGGTGTGAGGTCGACTGCGTCCAATGTCTAACTAAACTGAGCTGATCCCTTGCTCCTGCCCTCTATCAGTTGTGCGTTCGTCCCGTCATCGCGCACACGTCTACCTTCCCGACCATGGTCCCACAGCATGTGCATCCGAATAAGGGGCTGGCCTATCAGCAGGCGATGCGCAGGAATCGATCACTCCCCGCTGCAAGCTGGTACCCAGTGGGATGATTTGGCACCTCACGACGACTTTCGAGATCCAGGGACATTGTGCCCAGAGGGTTCTTAGAGCAAGTTGCACTGCATCGTCGGGGGGCTTTGCATGTCCACTAAGCGCCTGAATGTTCATTACATCCGCCGCGGATTCGACGTGGACTCGACGCAGATTCGACGCGGATTCGCGGATTCGGCGCGAATAGCGACGCAATGGAACAGACGAGGCCCCCCGAATATGCAACGTGCAGCAGGACATCTTGTCGCGCGAGTGTGCGGTGCGTTTCCCCTCCTTGCCCTCCGGGGGCAGCGCTCGTGGGGGATAGGCTCAGCGGGGGGCGGCCGCATCGCCCCCCCTCGATCTCCCGAGGGGGCCTGATGCCCCCCACACTGCCCATGAGCGTGCGGCTTGCCTGTCGCCGACCTGTCGGCGACGTATCGCCGATTTCAGGTCGATGTTTCCGTCCCCTTGAGCCGGGCCTCCATGACGTTCCCTCCCCTCCTCTTCCTCCTCCTCCTCCTCCTCTTTCTCCTCCTCCTCCTCCTCCTCCTCCTCCTCCTCCTCCTCCTCCTCCTCCTCCTCTCCTCTCCTTCCTCCTCCTCCTCTCCTCCTCCTCCTCCTCTCCTCCTCCTCCTCCCCTCCTCCTCCTCTCCCTCCCTCCTCCTCCTCCTCCTCCTCCTCCCCCTCTCCTCCTCCTCCTCCTCTCCTCCTCCTCCTCCTCCTCCTCCTCCTCCTCCTCCTCCTCCTCCTCCTCCTCCCCCCCTCCCGAGGAGCAGATCGCCGACAGGAACCTCCATCGCGCGCGAGCTGGTGGCGCCAGCGGTGGTCTGACGTCGCAGGCGATCGCGCAGTTTGTTTGGCTCGCCGGCGTCGACGTCGTCGTCTTGCTCGAGGATGGGGCAGGAGTGAGGGGGGGGGAGGGGGAGGAGGAGGAGGAGGAGGAGGAGGAGGAGGAGGAGGAGGAGGAGGAGGAGGAGGAGGAGAGGAGGAGGAGAACGAGGAGGAGGAGGAGGAGGAGGACGAGGAGGAGGAGGAGGAGGACCTGAGGAGGATGAGGAGGAGGCGAGGAGGAGGAGGAAGAGGAGGGGGACGGAAATGGAGGAGGAGGAGGAGAAGGAGCAGGATGAGGGGTAGGAAGAAGGAGGAGGAGGAGGAAGAGGTGGAGGAGGCGGAGGCGGGTGAGAGAGGAAGAGGAGTGGGAATTGGACGGGGTGGTAGAGCGGAGGACGAGGAGGACGAAGTGAGCGAGTGGGGTGATGACGAGGATGCTGGGGACGTGGGCGAACATCAGAGAAAGGAGGGCGTTCAGAAGCGTCAGTAGCGGTGGCAGCCAAAGCGGGGTTCGTAGCGACATGTTTGTCAAGGGTTTTTTGTCGCAGTGAACTGCAAGGGAAACTCGGAGCAGGCACTCGGTCTTCGGGATCCCCACGGGGGAGGAGCGCCACCCGCAACTACCATTGTTGTCCCGCTCGTGCTGCTGCCCACGCGAATGATCGCCCTCACTCCTTCCTCCTAGCAGCACGACTCCATTCAATGGAGGAGGAGGAGGAGGAGGAGGAGGAGGAGGAGGAGGAGGAGCGTGCACCGAAGAAGCCCCCGCAGAGGCAGGGCGTGCACATCGATGGGGTCCTCGAAGGGGCTCGCCCCACAGGGGCAGCGTGCCTGCTGGAGACCGATGTGGCACGCTGTCTCTCCAACCGCCGACCCCGTAGACTCCCACTCTGGCTCGCACTCTCCCCTCCCCGCTCCCCCCCTCCGGCTCCCGCTCCGACGTCGTCTTCCGATGTCGTGCCGCGGGGCTGCCCGCACGCCCGAGGCCTCGACGATGTGAGGGGGGCCCGATGCGGCCAAGATGCTGAAACAAGGACCGAGCTGGGCCCAGGCGATCGTCTTCTTTTCCTTGTTCTGCCGATCGGCGCGGGACCTCGCCCCCCCCCCCCCCTCCCCCTTCCCCCCATGGAGTGGATCTCGGCTGTCTTTGGCGCCTGTCTCGAGCAGGTGGAGTCTCCCCCCATAGGACGCACTGCTGCAACCAGTCGCACTAAGCAGAGGTCCAGAGCAGGAGCCCCCCCCCCTTCCGCCCAATATCGAAACGCCGAACAAGAAAATGCTCACGAGGGGCTCCAGTTCTCTGGCCGCTCATGAGATCTATAGGTCGGGGAACCTACTCGAAGCTGAGGGCCGCGTTGGCCAGAAGGGTTCTGTTCTTCCCTGTTCAGCCTCCCTTCTGGTAGGGAAGAGACCGCAGAAAGTGGGAAGCTTCGGGGGCCTCCAGGAGCTTCGAAGAAGGGTAATTACGAGGGGAACTTGCTCTTCCTCATTCCATCCGTCCGCGTTGGCTCGCCGATGTCGTAGTGGCCCTGTTCGCGGCGGGCCCTGCTTTGTCCCGCGCGCTCCGCCGGCTCTTGGCCGCGCCAGGCCCAAGAAAGGCCTTTTAAGGCCCAGAGGCGCCGCCCGACTGGGCGGAACGCAGCCGCTCGTTCCCGCTGGAGCTGGGTTGGCCAGATCGGAGCTCATGCGCTGCGCGCAGTGGCGCAAGTCCACGTGAACCGGAAGAGCTTGCACGCCTCGCCAAAGAGAAAAGAGTGTGTTCGCAGCTGTTGCTCTGTCTGGGGCCATCGACGCTTGGCGCACCTCCACCAGCATCCAGAAACGATTCCTGAGCGAGTTGCCGTGATAAGGATACGATGTACTAGCCATTCGCTCACGAGAAGGGCAAGGACACCTTATCTGAAGATATTCGCCCTCTGCCGCAGGCTCACCGCCAACCCAGCTGAGTGCCTGCTTGGCTGGGCCGATTGGGTTGGTTGGTTGTGGTTGATTTGCTGATTAACTGGCAGGCTGGCAACTAAGTTGATTGGGTGTCTCTATGGATGGGGGGGTGGCAGATTAGCTAGTTGGATGGTTGATGGGCTGGCTCGTAGGCTCACTCCCTGGTTGGATTGGGAATGCGCGACCCACAGCTTTTTACGACGGATCGTTGCCCCGGGAGCGCGGATCCGCAGAGTTTGTTCGTCGAGGGGTCGGGGCCTCGTGAGCGCGGGCCCGCTGGACTTCTTTCTGCTGAGGACCGTGACCTGGATCGGGAGCGCGGCTCCACGGGCCCAGTCAGGGATCGCGGCCTCGGAACCGCGGACTCCTTGCGGCGAGGACTTTCCGCGCCGCCGCCCGTGGCGCCGCCTCGTGGCCGCCTCGTGTGCTGCGTGGGTTCGGAGGCTTCGCCACGTGGCCGCCTCGTGGCCGCCTCGTGGCCGCCTTCATGCGCTGCGTGGGTCGGGTCTGGCCAGGTTTCGCCACGCTGCCGCCTCGTGGCTGGCCTCACGCACCGGGTGGGTCCAGCGAAGTCTCGCCAAGTTGCCACCAGTGGCAGCCTCATGGCTGCCTTCGTGCGCTTCGTGGGTCCGGCGAGGTTTCGCCATGTTGCCGCAGCCTCGTGGCCGCCTCGTGCGCTGGGTGGGTCTGGCGAGTTTTCGCCACAATGCCGCTCGTGGGCTTCTCGTCGCCGCCTCGTGCGCTGGGAGGGTCTGGCGAGGTTTCGCACTGTTACCGCCCGTGGTCGCCTCGTGGCCGCCTCATGCACACTGGGTAGCTCTGGCGAGGTTTTGCCGCGTTGCCGCGCGTTGCAGCCTCGTGGCCACCTCATGCGCTTTGTGGCCGCCTCGTCCGCTTCGTGGGTTCGGAAAGGTTTCGCCGCGTCGCCGCCCTTGACCGCCTCGTGGCGGCCTCGTGCGCTGGGCCGGTCCTGGCGAGGTTTTGCCCCATGGCCGCCCGTTGTTGCCTCGTGGTCGCACTGCGTCTGCCCTACATGGCTCACACCACATAGATTGCAACACATCGCATACACCACATCCCTCACGCCACATACATCGCACCACGTAGCTTACCCCGCATCGCTCTCATGTCCCAAGTCGCACCACATCGTAACATTGCACTGCCTAACTTCCACCACAGATAGCCGCCCCTGGCGAGCCGCGGAGGGAAGTACGCACCATGGATTAAAACCCTTGTCGGATCGAAGATCCTTACTAAGACATGCTTGCCAGCATGGGCCCCGAACAGTAGAATGCTGCCGTGCGGATATGTAAGCTATGCCGAGCGATCTATGAGGCGTGCTCTGTGTGGTTTGAGCTGGTGGCGCAATCTTCATGGTGCCAACTATTTGGTGTGAGCTATGGGGTGTAAGCCTTGTCTGAGCTATGTGGTGCAAGCCATGTGTTCAACGTCGTGTGGCGCTACATATGTGGTGTGAGCTTGGTGGTGTAAGCAATGCGGTACAATCTAAATGCTGCGTCAGATGCAGTGGCATCTACATATACACGCATAAAGGCATATATATATAGATATGTATATATAGATGCAATGTGAGCCAATGCGACAGGATGCCAGCCATCTCCAGTCAATAGGCGAGGGGGTAGTGCCGCGACGCTGGGATTGTGGAAGGCGTAGCCACCTCCCTGGAGGACACGCGCGGCTTTGCCAAAGCTGATCCGCTCAACCACCTACCTCTGGATTGGTGGGACGCATATGCCGAGAGCTCCAGGGCCCATCCGAGCACTTTCATTGGCGCCTTGGCGCCAAGTTTGTGGTTTCACTGTTGGCGTCAAGTGGACTTGGCGTACATCTGAGGGCGGCGTTTCGACATGCGTATGCCCAACCGGAGGGTGCCATGAGTTGTCTTGCATAGGTCTGCCCACCTAGGATAAGCTCAGCGTTTGCCAAGAAGCGTCGTGTTTCCAGCTATATCCCAACAGATCGATGCCCAGGCTGAGGAGCAGGACTTGCGCGCCTTGTGTGATCCGATGACGTGACCATTGCGCAGCAGCAACCCGCAGCCTTCGATGTATTTCGCATGTGGGGGAGGGACGCCGTATAAGACATGTTGGCTCAGTTTTGTTGGGAGAGCCCAGTGTAGATGAGCGGCTGAACTCACGCTGCGAGCATCAACAGCGTGACTCCGTCTTCTCTTAGTGCACTGAGTGGGCATTCTATGCTGTTCAAAAAGGTGGCCTGAGATAAGCAGCAGAGTATCTACAACGGAAAGGTGCTTATACAGTTTGGCGCGGGGATCTCAGAGGTCAAATTCCCAGGGAAGTTTCTAGGCAAACATGGACTGCAAAGGTATTGTGAAGAAGTGGAGTTCTGAAAAAGGTCATGGTCTCATTTCTTGTGATCTGGACGGCGGAGAGGTGTGGGTACACAGGCGTGCCATCGGAGATATACCCGATCTTTCTGTTGGTGACAAGGTGGTGTTCCAGAAGGTGGACGATGGGAAGTCCCGTGGCAAGTTCAAGGCTGCAGAAGTGCGCCTGGCGGCCCTTGAACCCCGGGGCAGGTTCAAGGAACGCGAAGCGCGCGCTACAAATTCCGACCTATCAGCCGGCCAACAAGCCGGCCAGCAGCTTTTGCAAATGTTGAAGCAGCCGCAGTTTCAGCAGCAGCAGCAGCATTCGCAGCAGCCGCCGCAGCTACCAACGGAACTGCTACCACAGCAGAGGCTGCAGATGCCAGAGCAGCCGTCGCAGTTACCACGGCAATCGCCGCAGGTACAGCAGCATCCGCCGCAGTTGCCAGAGTATTGGCCATTCCATACTCAGCAGCCGCCGCACGTACAGCAACAGCTGTTGCATATGTCACATCAGGCGTCGCAGTTGCCACATGAACCGCCTCAGATACAGCAGCCGCTGCAGCTGTCACAGCAGTGGCCACAGCAACCGCATCTACCGCCGCAGGTACAACAGCAGCCGCCGCAGCTGCGACAGCAGTGGCCACAGCAGCCACAGCAACCGCCGCAGATACAGCAGCCGCCGCCGGCACCACAGCAGTGGCCACAGCAGCTGCCAGGCGTACACCATCAACAGTACCCAGGGCCTTTCAAGTTAAATTGGCCCATCAAGGATGTTGCTAGTATTGCCGCTGAAAACCGGTACTACGAGTGCCTGAAGAAGTATGACGGGGACGACCTTGCGCGCATGTTCGTAGAGGCTGATCTCGTGGAACACCCAGATCTGCGCATGGGCATGGCAATTAACATCTTGCGGCATGTTCTGAGAGAAAAGATTGGCGAGGAACAATTCTTATGGGACGGTCGCTTTGGATCTGCCGAGGGTGGTAAAGTTGTGGCGAATATCTTAGAGGAGGCGATGGCAAACTTTCTTACCAAAAGCGGCATAAATTTCAAGACGGAGAACGCATTGCGCCTTGAGCTGGGGTCTGCCATCAGGACGATGGATGTGGCCACGCCCGACTTTTTGTTGTTGGACGAGGTGCAGATCAACGGCCAGAGCGTGTGTTGGATCGATTGCAAGTGTACATTCGGTAGCGCGCGGATTCTTACAGAAGGGCTGAAGAGTGGCAAGTCACAAATGTCGAAAAATCTGGTAACGCAGAGCATGAGGTACAACCAAGCTTACGGGCCAGGTGCATTTGTATATTCATTGGGGTTTTCCGAGGGATTGGCCGACGTAGTAGCCAAAGCGCAGAGAATGCTCGCGAATGGTGGGCAGGTAATTGACACTATCCAAGCCAATGGTCACAATTCAATTGATTCATCAATGTCTCGCTCGGCTCTTAATGGTTGCATGGTACCGTTGTTCCTCGATGCCGCACTCCTAGACACCAAGAAGTTGTCCGACGCGATTGCCCAGCAGAGCAATCGAAAGCAGCTCGAGAGGTGGCATTTCCCTCAAGTGCTTGCACAAGCAAATTCCAAGGCCGATGTTGTTTCGATCCCCATTCCGAGGTGAGAAGTTATATATTAGCGGGGAGGGGGCGCGGCAGTCCTGCGGGTCACGTGCAATTGCGTCACGCGCGCTGCAGCGCATTGGTGTTGTCCTGTGCGTGGGGCCAAGCCACAATGCTTGATGTCCTGCTCGTGGTACTCCCGCCTCGCCGCCTACAAAAATCAGCTACAGTGCATGCGCACACGAAGCGTACGTTGGCCAATCGAGGCGGGTGATGCAAACTTGAAGTGCGAGTGCGATTGATCTGCAGCATGGGCACGAGCACAGACGAGTGTGACTGTATCAGAGTGGGGGGCCGAGCGGTCATTCATTGCCCCAGAATGCGTGGCTGAAGGAGGGATCCGTGGTAAGGATTATGTTCGTTGCGTCATTGTTTGTTTGTTTATTTGTTTGTTTGTTTGTTTGTTTGTTTGTTTGTTTGTTGTCGTCGTCCCACCCGCGACCCAACCCGCGACCCACCCCGCGACCAACCCCGCGACCCACCCGCGACCCAACCCGCGACCCACCCCGCGACCAACCCACGACCCAACCCTCGACCCACCCGCGACCCACCCCGCGACCCACCCGCGACCCACCCGTGACCCAACCCGCGACTCAAGCCGCGACCCAGCCGCGACCCACCCCGCGACCCACCCCGCGACCCACCCGCGACCCACCCGTGACCTACGAGCGACCCACCCTCGACCCACCCGCGACCCAGCCGCGACCCACCCGCGACCCACCCGTGACCCAACAGCGACCCACCCGCGACACACCCGCGACCCACCCGCGACCTATTCGCGACCCACCCACGACCCACCCACGACCCACCCGCGACCGACCCTGCGGCGGCCTGCGGCGGGCTCGTTGTATAATTGGTGAAACTTTGGCGCCTGCGGCGGGCTCCTCCAGAGTCTCGCAGACTGCCGACGTCCCCACCGCCCCCTCACTCTTATCTGCATATGCGGGGTGCTACATAGTGAAGCAGGCATCGACACCATGCGAAACGAAACGCATGTGCGATCAGCGGCTGATGCGCGACCTCATTGTCTTCATGTTAGCCCATCTCCTGATCACCTTTCTCCCTCTCCCCATCGTTTGTCCGTCTCATCATCTTATTCCTTCTGCTGCTCCTCCTCCCACGCGCGCGCACGCTCCCGCTTGTGCGGAGAGACGAGGGAGACACAAGGGAGGGAGGAGGCTAAGGATGAGGAGGATATGGAAGAGGGAGGATGAGAAGGAGGAGGCAGGAGGGGGGCGGACAAGGAGAGGGACGGTGAGGGCGGCGAGGATGGGAGCGGGGGAGGGATGGAAGATGATGCCTGTACGCAGCAGTGCGAACGACAGGCACGCGCCAAACGCAGGACCGGGTCCGTGCTCAGAAGTTGTCCTCGGGCCATCGACGAAGGTCGGCACCCGCGCACCCTCCCAGACGTCCGACGACCTGGCTTCTCCGCCCGCGGCCCCAGAGGTCCCGACCCCCTCTCCCTGGTGCGAGCTCGTCGCCCCCGCTCCGCTGCCGGTCGTTTGCCCCCGGGCCCGAGAGCAGGCCCCCCCCCGCGGGCCGAGAGGGAAGAGCGCACCCAGCTGAAGCAGACGCCCCACCGGGGACTGCGCGAGGAGCCGCTCTCCTCGGGGCGGCTGCGGCTGAAAGAGTGTCCCATGGTGCGGCGCTCCGGCGGCAGCGCGCGCCCTCCATCCCTTCGGCCGCGGCACGCCGCGGAAAGAAGCGAGCGCGCGAGGCGCCTGGGCCAGAGGGCCCCGCCGTGAAGAGGCAGAGCGCCCCTCACCGGGGAGCGCGCGCGATCTGGTCCACGGCGAGTGCCTGCGGCCCCCGTGCGGGAGTCCCGTGTCGAAGACGGCCCCCCGACGTCATGAATGTTTCATGACGTCGACCCCCAGCGGTCTGGTCCTATTCCCCGGGACCGGTTTTTCGTCCTGAGTCGTTTCTTGACGGTCCCGAGGCCCGGCGAGGGCCCCCAGGGGCCGAAAATCGTGAAAAACCTCCCGTCCCGATCTTCTTACGACGCCATCATGTCTGGGTGTCGAAGACGGCCCCCCCTCTCGCGAGCGCCGCACTCGGCGAACGGAGCCCACGGCGGCGCGCGGCGCCGCCCGTGGCAGGCACCGCCCGCGGCGCGCGGCGAGGGAGCCGCGTGCGGGCCCCCGGAGGCAGAGCCACCGCCGCAGCCAACGCGCGCAACACGGCCCCGTCGTCCGTGCAGCTGCGTGCCCTCTTTCGGGAGGGAGAAAAGCACACACAGACATAGTGCATCGTCGGTTCCCCAGGAAATAAGGGGAGAATAGTAGAGGATGACGATTAACAAAATGACCGGGGGTCGTGTTCACGCGGCGGCGCCCGGGATGACAATTAGAAAAAACCGGCCGCGGGCTGGAAAACAATGTTTTTAATCGTTCTCCTCTAGTCAGAAAGTTGTGCAGAAATAACAGGAAACTAATTTTTAATCGTTCCCCCCCCCATTTTTGTCATTTAATCGCTTCGCTCATGCCGCCGGCCCTGGAGCCCTCTTTAGGGCCTCTTGGGGGCCTCTTGGGGACCTCTTGGGAGTCTCTTGGGGCTCCTTGGCGGCGTTTTGGAGGCCCCCAGGGCCTCTTGGGGGGCTCTTGGGGGTAGTCGATTGCGGCTCCCCCCTCGGAGGCCACGATCCTCGTGAGGGGTGTCGAAAAATACCCTCCCCTGGAGTGGTCTGGTGGCTTCTCCCGGGCTTCTCTCGGGACCTTGCCGGGGTACTTTTCGTCCGGGGGCCCCCAGGGGCCGCTCCGCGCGCGCGAACTAGAAATATTGTTAACAAGTTACCGGAGATCTTAGCACGCCTCTGGCCCGTTGGGCCGGCGAATTAATCGTCGTCCCCCATTATGGGAAGTGGGGGGGGGGAGACAAAAACCCAGAAAAAATATGTGGGAGACCATGGGGCTTCCTGCCAGTCGTGTGTGCGTATTTCTTCGTGTGTGCCAGGGCCCCTTCACTCGTGCGTGTGCTGGCGCGGGCGCGGCGCCGAGGGCAGGAGCCCCGGCGCCCGGGGAGCACACACCGCGGGCCGCCCTCCGCCCGTGCAGGGGCTGCCGCGCGTGCTCGCCTCGGGCCGCGGGGGCGCGCGCGCGGCGCCACAGGGCGAGGTGGTCCCCCTCGGCTCGAGGACGGCCCCCAAGACTCAGGTCGGGTCTGTCCCCCTACAGGGGCTCCTCCTCCCTCCTCCCTCCTCCCTACTCCCTACTCCCTACTCCTCCCTCCTCCTCCCTCTTGGGGGTGGCTCGGGCCGCGGGGGCGCGCGCGCGGCGTCGTAGGGCGAGGTGGTCCCCCTCGGCTCGAGGACGGCCATGTGCTCCAGCCGCGCAGCGCCTGCGAAGTGGGGGCTTCGAGGCCGCAGGGTGCGGTAGTACAGTCATCGGCCTGACCTAGGGAACGATAAATAAGGAACGAAGCCCCTTGTTTATCCCAAGGAATAACGCATAGGGAACGATAAATGATAAATAGCGCATAAGGAACTGTACATAACGCATGCAAGCCTAAGGAACGACCGAGCCCCTTTCGAAAAGCAAGTGTTCCTTATTCAAGCCGCTCACTGCAGGGGGACAAAAAGTGGCATTCACACAAAAACTCGGTGGTCCGCGCGGATTTCTCGGATCGGCGCTGGGGCCCCCTGGCGGCGCCTCCGGCGCCGCCAGGGAGGGGGGTCCAGCGCGGATCCGAGAAGTCCGCGCGGGCCTCCGAGTTTTGATGTTCAGGTCCTTCTTCGCTCCCCTACTCGAGGCCGCAGGGTGCGACACAGAGGGTCTCCAGCGACGCGCCCCGCCCCGCCCTCGCACGGCATGGCCGGTGGTGCGAGTGAGGCGCCCGTTCCAGAAGGAAGCGGAAGCTGGAGAGGGGGGGAGGAGGGGGGCGGGGGGAGGAGTGGACGACGGGGAGGACGGAGGAGGGAGGACGGAGGAGAAGGATGGAGCGTGGAGGAGGGGGAGCGAAGTGGGAGGAGGAGCAGGCGGAGCAGGAGCAGGAGGTCCCTGGATGTCCCCGTGGGCTCCCCAAGGCTCCTGGAGGTTCGAACCGGAGCCGAAGTCGCACACAGAGCTCCTCTTTCTCCTCATCCTCCTCAGCCTCCTCCTTCTCCGCCTCCTCCTCCTACTGCGACGACGGCCATGACCGCCACGACCACCACCACCCCCGACAATGATGACGACCACCACCACTGCGAGCACCACCCCTGACGACGACGGCGGAGACGACCGCGATCACGGCCACGACAACCACCACCATAACCACCAAATTGCACGACGACGAGGACTGCGACCCGAGGCCCTCGCGGGCCCCAAGATGCCTCTCCCCGAGGCTCCCAGAGGCGACGACCGCGAGGGTCTCGATGACCGCGAGGATCTCGACCGCGACCACTGCGAACTCCACGACCACCACGACCACCAGGACCACCACGACCACCACGGCCGCCACTTCGGCCTCGACCGCGACGACGGCGATCACGACCGCGACCGCGGCGACCACGACCACTGCCACGACCGCCGCGACGGCGGCAGCGGCCACGGCTCGAGCGCGCCCGAGGGGGACGCTGGCCCTGCGAGCCCCGCAGTTGGGCCAGGGGTGCACGGGCGGGGTGGGGCCAGCGCGGCTGCGGCGCCGGCCCGGCCATGGCGGAGGGCGGCGCAGACCTGGGCCGGCTCGAGCAGCGGCCAGGGCGGGGGTCAGCGGAGGGGGGGGGGGGCCAGAAGGGTTCGCTGGACCAGGCTGGTTCCTTCTTGGGACCTCTCGGAAGCGCCTCGCAGGTCACCGGGTGGCTCCTGGGGCCATCACGGCGGGAGAGACTCGATCGGAGGTGAGGGGGTGAGATCGAAGTGGGACGGAGAGCCCCCCATACCGGGAAATCGGTTTCGGTTTCGTGTTCGTGCGTGCCGTGCGTGCGGGCGAGGCGAAGCTGCGGGGGCGGGCGAGAAGAAAGTCTCCTCCGGCTGAGGCGCGGCCGGACCAAATGATGTCTTTCCGGGGGCCGGTGGCCCGCGGTGTCCCGCCGGTGTCCCGCCTCCGGCTGAGGCGCGGCCGGACCAAATGATTCCTTTCCAGGGGCCAGTGGCCCGCGGTGTCCCGCCGGAGTCCCGCCGGTGTCCCGTCGGTGTCCCGATGATGATGATGATGATGATGATGATGATGATGATGATGATGATGA